GTAATTATTTTTTGCTTATATATTCATTTTATTTAAAGTACATGAATTCAATAAACATGTGACATTTTTTGAAATAAAAAAATTTCCCAGCAATTTTTTTCAGTATTTAGTTTTAAGCGTTGTTGTCATTTTCTGTTGACCAATTAAATATTATGAAAATGTTCAATGTTATATTATGAAATGTTAAATGTTATGAAATGTTAAATGCTCAATGTTAAATATTATGAAAAAGTTCATGAAAATCCCTAATATTAATATTTTTGTAATTGGTTTAAAAAGTTAATATTAACATAAATAGAAAAAATAACAAATAAGTTTATTTATATAATAAATAAATAAATTTTAAAAGATTACTACTTATTTTTTAAATATTGTTTACATATATATATATATATATATATATATATATATATATATATATATATATATATATATATATATATATATATATATATATATATATATATATATATATATATATATATATATATACAGGAAGGCATGCGATCGCATGCTATTATATGACCACGCAAATAATACTTTATTTTGAAGATTTGACTGCGGTTTTTAAATTTGAAAAATGCGCTGAAAAAAAAGTATTTTTAATTATGTCAAAAATAAATAATTTTGAAACTTTTACCTTTACAAATGTTTTTGTAAAGATAAAAGTTTCAAAATTATTTATTTCAAAATTATTTATTTCAAAATGCTTTTAAATAAAGTAACAGTTACTGTAAACGTTTTAATTTAAAGTATAGATTAAAGTTGTATAGATATTTATTTATATTATTTAATATATATAAAATTATATAGTTAATAAATAAAATAACATATAAGATTTTTTTATAATTAGTCTTATTTTAATTAATCAAATTTTATGATCAACGACTTGAACAACGACGACTTAAATAACAATTGCCTCTTTAATAAACTTTATTTAAGAATCATTAAATACACTTGATAAGATTTTGTTGAGATTAGAAAAAGACAAACTTTTGAATTAAAACCTTTTAAATAAAATTTTCTGATTTTTTTTAATTAATAATACTCTTTTAAATAAGGTAAGAATTCACTGCTAATGATTTTTTTTTTGTTAAAGTTTTAATTTAATTTTCTTTCGTCTTTAAATCTTTAAAAAAATTTTAAAAGTTATCCATTAAAGTTAATATACTCGAAATATAACAAATTTTTTTTGCAAAAATGCAAGTTAAAAAAATATATATAAATTATTAACAAATTAAATCAAATTATCAGTTAAAGAAATAGTTTTGTTCATTATTTTTCATTTTTATCTTCGCTTTTCCTTATTTACTTTCTGATATCTGACAAAAAAAAAGATTTAATTAATTTATCTTTTGTTTATATTACTAGGATGAATTGTAAAGTTTTTTTATATTTGTTATCTTGTAAATATGCGTATTTATTAAAAAATCTTTGGAAGTTGTTACTTTGTTTAAAAGGGTTTTGCTATGTCTATATAATAAAGAATTTTACTCAAACATGTATTTTATTGTTACTGTTAGATTCAAAGCCATCCTACTTACTACAGATTAACTGAATTAAATATATTCTAATATTTTAAAATTTAAATTGTTTACCTTTTTTCTGCTTTCACATAAACAAGCAAGGTGTGTTGTTTTGCAATCCAAAAGATTCTTACAATTCACAGAACACATAAAAATATTTCAAAACTTATAAAAATATTTTAAATTTAGTACAATAATTTTAATGCTACTTTTATAAAAAGCAGAAAAACTGAAAACAAAAACATAATATTAAAAACATAAAGTGATGTAAAATTATCCAAAAACTATTTTTGAGGCTTAAATATCATATCAAGTTATATTTACTTGTATTCAGTTATGCACAAGTATATAGCTAAAAATAAATATTGAATATAAAAATAATTTTCTAACATTTTTCTTACCTGTTATTGCAAGCTACAACTGGAAGTCCACAACCACAACAAGAAAAATCAAACAAATGCTCAAAGTTGTTATCAAGACATTCTTGTTTTTGTTTGCATTTTTGCGCTTTCCTTCAGCTAGGTATGTGGATTAAAAATTTTAAATTGATCAAAGGTTAGATTGTTATATATCATTGGAAAGTGCTTCAATACAGTATTTTAAAGGTGAAAAAATTATTAAAATCGGACTATTCTACCAAAAGTTATAACGTTTTTAGTCGCAAATTTTTGATATATGGATTTATTGAAGAAACTGTGGTCAAAATTTATTTTTTCTTCACTTAAATTGTTATAAATTTGTCAATTCTTATCTAAATACCTATAACTTAGTATCAAAAGATAGGTGTAACTGTGGGCTACAAATTTATAACATTGTCCACCTATTGGGCGTTTCCTTGGGGCTAGAGGGGGTTCCGAATCACCACCTTTACCCTAAAAATAAGCATATTTCTTTCAATAAAAAGTGTTTTTTTTCAACATACTGTTGTTTTTTTGTATACAAAAAAATGCTATAATTTTGTTCCAGACCATCAATGATTGATGTTTATTAAAGTTGGTGGTGGATATGGTGGTGATGGTTTAACACACCCTAATTTTAAAAATATTTAATTCTCTAATTATAAATAAATAAATATTTCTATATTTAATAAAATAAGTGAAACTAGTACACAGTATAAAAAACATAAAAATTTTTTTTGTTACAAGAATTTCATTTATTGGTGGTGTGTTTATTGACTTGTGGGAGGTGCGTGTGCCCCCCCCCCCCAACCTAAAAAAATAAAAAAGTAAAATAAATAAATCTCTATAATAACAATTATAATTATTTTAAAATGAGTTAACAATTTAAAACCTGAATTAGGCTTTGGCACCAAGTATAACCTACAAGCTAAAGATAAAGACCACAACCGAGCCTATTTTTGAAAAAAAAGTCTTTTTGCTGCTATTTGTAAATTTTGGTTAAGTTGAGAAGTTTGTTGAATAGGGTGGTAATGGTTACCCACAACCTACAATAAAAAGATGTTGAATTCTTAACAATAATTGTATCTTTAACAAACAAAACAAATTAGTATATTTCATTTTTTGATATTTCATTAATATATTTTATTTCATTACCAAAAATATCAGTGTTATATCCAAAAAAAAAAATGTAACAATCAATTTTATATTGTTCTGTATTAAAACATTTTAGATATCCTAAGTTTAAATAGTTGTCTTGGCTTTTAGTAAATAACTAAATTAATCAATTTCATAAATGGAACACTATAGTAATCATTTGTAACAATAGACACCACGTGAAAATAAGCCAGAGCCTCCTATCAAAATATTTTGGAAGTCACAACACTTGTGCAAAGGTCATTCCAAGTCAAATACTTTTATTCTTCTCTAAAAACATTTATAAAAAAAAGTAAAACAAAAACATATGGTTTAATACCAGGCATACCTGACTTGATATGACTATTTCTTCAAGTTTTATTACTTGCAATACCTTTATACAAGTTTCATCATATGCCGTATCTGTTTTGTAAGTTTCATCATTTGCAGTATCTATTTTTAAAGCTTTATTACAAGTAATATCATAATTTGTTACATATTACACTTAAAAAAAAAAATCAACTCTCCTGGTCCAACATCAGCGGAAGCTGAAATTTTTTCATGCTGTAGTCAACAGCTTCAGTATCAGTATTACCTTTATTCCAATAAGAAATCGTGTAAACTTTGTCTTATTTTGTTTTATCAAGTTTTTCTTCTCTACCATCATACATGACATACTTTGAATACTCACTTAGTACCATTCATGGCAAAGTTTTTGCCCAACAATTCTATCTGACATTACATCATCTTAGTCATGGCATTACATCATCTTAGTCATGAAGTTGTTTGATAGACGATGTATTTAAACACTTTATTTCATTGTAAGAGAGTTCAAGCAACTGTCATTTTAACTTTCCTTTGTCTTTTTCATCCATTTTTTGGCATTTGCATACATGTTTTTTTGAAATATCTGCTCATATATCATTATGCTTCATTTGATTTATCATCCTCTTTTTATGGGTTTCTGAATAGACCACATAACTATATTTTTATGGGTTTCTGAATAGACCACATAACTATATTTTTATGGGTTTCTGAATAGACCACATAACTATATTATTTATTTTTAAATATTCCTTATTTATTAGTCTTATTTATTTTTAAATATTCCTCTATTAATCTTTATTTTTGTCTCGACAACTGTCAAAATATGCTTTGTCTAATAAATAATTCTCCTTTATTCTAATGTATTTCATTTCTTCCCTCAGGCGTTCACTGCTCGTGTGTGACCATTCGGCGAATATTTTATGCCAAAGTTTTTAAATAGTAACTATATTTTCTCTAGATAATTGATCTAAACTGTCTAGGTATTTTAATTTGTATGAAACATAACAAATTGTTACATTAAGGGATCTTTCTTCAGCCTCACTAAACATTCCCATTAACTCTTCACTATTTATATTGTGAAGCCTTGCACATGCTACTTCCTCCTTGAGAGTCTGGTTAATAGAAAGTGAGAAATACCTCTTTCATTGATGAGTTATGATGTCTCCTACTGCAATAAGACAAGCAAAAGTCATATTGAAAAGTGTTCATCAATCAAACAAAACATTTTTTATTGGATGTTAAATATTTGGTTCAAGGTCATTTTAATTTGATTTAGAATCTGCAATTTTTAGTAAAATATTTTTTAATACCAGGATTCCACTATAATGGTCAAAATTTGCCTCCTCAACAGTCACACAAAACTTTGTCATCCAGGCTATTAACTATTCTTTTTTTCAAAAATAATCTAAGTTTAGTAATGTTTCTAAACAGAAACGCCACAAAAAAACGTTAGCCTGACGTTACCTAAAAAAAAGTTCAAAAAAACTGGCACAAAATTTTAGCACAAAATTGGGTTCCCTAAAACACGGATTTCCGCGTACCTACTTCAGCAGATAGCAGAAGTCTAGAAATTTTTCGGCCACTGACTTCTCATGGATCAGAGTGAGCCTTGGAT